TAAACTCGCAATTTTTTTCTGTCATAAGATTTAAAAAAATAGGCCTAAATGGAAAAAATGCGACTTTTTATTTCACAATTCGAACTTTTTTCCCTTTTGTGTTTAGGCTATGTCACAATTCTGACTTTTTTTCTCTCATTTAAACTCGCAGTTCTGAGAAAAAAAAGCCACAATAGTGAAACATAAACTCAGAATGACTTTTTTTCTCACAATTAAAATTTTTTTTTTTTACCCTTTTTTTTATATCCCGTGGCTGAAACGAGCAGTCTCCTAACCCTATATTGTAAAATGTGTGAATGAGTCTTGTTTCACCTGAGTAAGCTGCGGACGGTCGGTGAAGAGATAGAGCTGAAGTACTCTGCGCACGAGCACAGGCGACTGGTTGAGCTGGTTATCCGCTGACATGGACTAGTTAGTTGACCGAGGGGGCGGATCTTCTCCACATCCCATAATCGCGACGCGTCTCGGACAGCGCTCGTTTGGAGAGACTCGTATTGAGACGCAGTTAGACGGCCTGGCTGGGGGTCATTTGCAAAGACCAAGAGCGGCGTGGATGAGATAAATAGTGCTGATAACAAAGGGCCCTTCAGCTCATCTCAAAGAGCCAAGAGCAGCATTTCAGCTGCACATTATCGACACTCCTGGGGCTGTTCTTCTTAATTAATTGCTGCTGTAATTAGATTTACGCGATGGGCCTCTTTGAAACGTGTTGATTAGCCATTCAGATTCAGAAGAAACATCCCTCCATCAGCAAAGCGTTGAGAATCCGTTTGTAAACGATGAAGTCTGGAACGAAGCTGTAATAAATGAAGTCCAAATGCATGCTTATTTATGCGGCTATTAAAACCTTTAAACTTTTTAAGCAATAAAATGATGTGACAGAAAACACCTGCTGAAGTGCTGTTAAACATCTCTTCTCAAGGGGGATTTTTTTTGCAGCATCTTTGTAAAGTAAATTTTATATTTTTATTCACAATTTAACGTTGTCTAACATAGTTTTACCGTAAATTGAGAAAATATCAATGTTTCCATGGCAACACAGTGCATACCTATTTATTTCCCCGTTGTGATTTTTTTTTATAGATGGTAGCATTAATAAAATGATTGCAGTTAGGCCTATTTATTTATTTCAAGTGTTTATTGTCTTTTGCAGCATCTTTGTAAAGTAAATTTGATATTTTTATTCACAATTTAACTTTGTCTAACATAGTTTTACCGTAAATTGAGAAAATATCAATGTTTCCATGGCAACACAGTGCATACCTATTTATTTCCCCGTTGTGATTTTTTTTTATAGATGGTAGCATTAATAAAATGATTGCAGTTAGGCCTATTTATTTATTTCAAGTGTTTATTGTAGTATAGTTGTATTTATGTATAAATAACAAAATTATTTCATCTTTTCAGAAAATGAATACAGCAATATTTTACAGAAAGAAAGATAGGGATCTACTTGATTTTGGTTTGCATGAGTTCCGAGTTTCTAAATCTATCGATTTCTAAATGTGCATTAAATAGAAAAAAAAAAAATCATAATTTTATAGAAAAACTACTTTTTTGACCGTTTTCCATTGTGGTACAGCGTTGCGTTGTTGTTTTTTAATTTGTCTGATTGAAGCTATTTCATGTAATAAAAACTTATTTGAATAATTATTTCATGGTTAGAACATAATGCATACCATAGAGGGTTAATGAGAAACATTTATAGCTATTTAAAAGCGTGATTTGTTCATAATAATAATAATAATGTAATGTCTGTGTTTGAAGTGTTAGATTTTCTGCGTCACGAGAACAAAACAAAGAGTCTGATTGAGTTTGAACAGCTCATTCATTTCACTTTCCCAGAGTGACCCTCAATATCACACTGGGGGGAAGTTATGAATAAAACAGATTATTTGTGTTTTACAATAGTTTAAAATTTCACTTGTTACTTTGTGTGCAATTTACTAGCAATTTCTGAGTGAAAATTGTTTCTACACCAATTTTTTTTTTCTTCAGTTTAATCTGTGCAGACTGATGATTAGGCTATTATTATTATTAATAATATAACACTATAGTCACAGAGTCCCACCAACTGATCATTCGCTCTGTTTTCTGCTGCAAAAACATGTGACGATACATTTATGGAGATAATCATAAACATTTATGCTTCAGTTCCAGCATTTGGGCTGTAAACCCTAACTTCAAGCGTCAATATAATGTTCTGGAGTTAAAGACTTGATCCAAAAGTCTTAAAATCAGAGAATAAAGCACATAAAGCCACTGTAACGCATGACATTCAGCGGCTTTTGATGCTTTTTACAGCTTTAGTGAATAATAGCGCGTCTGATTTAATGACAGATATTTGATACTTTATTACCGTGTGAATCCTGAGGTTTGTTATGCCACAGTAAGCGAAATACAGCAACTAGAACTGAAATAAAAAATAAAGTAAACCTAATGGTAATATTAAAAAAAATACATTAATACTAAAAATTTCACTAAAACTAAAAACAAAAATATATAAATAAAAGCTAAATAGTACAATAACCTGTCTTAAATAAAGTGTCTTGGGTGAATATTAATTTTCAGTAACTCAAAACAGTTAATTGTCAATTATTCCTCAATAATTGACTCAAGGGACTGATAGAAATTAAATTATTGAAATATTTAAATTAGTACTTTTATTCATGAAGGATGCTTTAAATTGATCAAAAGTGACAGTAAAGACATTTAGAATGTTACAAATGTTTCTATTTCAAATAAACGCTGTTCTTTTGAACTTTCTGTTCATCTGTGAACAAATGTATCATGGTTTAATGCATTGTTAAATTGTAATAATATTTCACAATATTACAGTTTTACTGTATTCTTCACCATATAAATGCAGACTTGGTTTTCAAAAAATTTAAAAAATTTTCATTATTACAGACTTTTGCCCTGATATAAATGTATGCATGTATGTATACACACTGTACTGTGCAATGCATACACTGATTCCTTACAATGATTTAATAATATATTAAACAGTATGCAATATGAGTTACAAATATCAAACTTCCGACAGTATATCGTCAGAACATGACCTCAGCATGTGACCTGTTATCATGCAAATAAATATACTTATTTTGTATTCTTCATCCAGTTTTGCATAAGAATGTGAGCACAGTGTATTGTGGGATGCACTGCTTCACATGATCCTGTTATTCCTGATTAATAACTGATGAACACATGTAACATACTGAGGTCACGTGACACTGTTTATTCTTGCATACTGTGTACTTCTTCATGTGCTTTTAAGCCCGGTTTCAGTAAGTAATAAGAAGTATTTCACTCCACAGCGCCACCTGTCTGTGTTTAGTCAGTATTGCAGTCTGACTTCATAGTGAACCAAACTAAAACTCCTAATTAAGAATATGTTTTCTATTTATTTATTAGTCCTACTGCATATTATATAAAGGAGCGTGAGGCCTGCAATCAACCAGTTCCAAAAAGAAACACAAAACTAGAAAGAAAACAAGCTGACAAAAAGATTGAAATCACACTTTGGTGATTATATATAGCATAACGAGAGATTTATAAGCAATTATTTGGAGGCCAGTCATTTTTGAGTGTAACAAGGTGGGGAAAAATTCCAAGAGTACAAAAATTATCCAAAAAAATTAAAATAAATAAATTTGTAACAGAAAAAAAAAGCACCGCAAAAATACATGATTATATATTTTATTTCAGTGTATTTACAATGAATTCTTCATGTGTTCCTGTACATTTGTAGCATACTGAACACCCTCTTACTGTAAAGATATTTCACAACTTTGAGAAAAATACCCAAAGAAGCCTGCGGTGAATCTATAATTCTAATCAGATGAAACACAAACATGTCACGAACTGCACACATCATACGACATGAAAACATCATCATAACAATCATATTTACAGTCAAAACAGCCTATATACTGTATGTACAACATTTCCTGTTATGATGTGTGTGAATGTGAGGGTGCGAATCATATTCTGCTTCCAATCAAAAGAAATATCTCCCTAAAGCAGCATATCTTGCAGAATCATAAAGCATTGTGGGTCTTGAGTTTGTAGTCGAGCTGTGATAAATGAAAGCGCTATTATTATATCACTATATCACTGTTTAATACTGGATTCTGATTGGCTGACAGACGTTTTTAGGTGTTATTAATGTTTGATATCGTGTTTCTGAACTAATGAGGGCATCTTACAGCAGATACTTCAGCAGTAGAATGTAATTCTATACATTTTATGGACCAAAACCTGAAAAATATCATGAAATAAACACATATATGTGGTTGTACAATTAACTGTTTTGAGCTACTGAAAATTAATATTAACCCAAGACAATTTATTTAAGGTTATTGTAGATAACTAAAACTGAAACTGAAATTAAAACCATAAAAAAATTTAAACCATAAACCATTTAAAAACATACACACATTTTTGTTACTTGAAATAAAAAAAAATAATTAAAATTTTTATTTTATTATTTTAGTTAGTTTGCAAGATAAAACTTCTCATTTTAATTTAATTTCTCATTTAATTTAATACTCAATGTACTAAAATAACTAAAGTTGAAACTGAAATAAAAAAATTATAAAAAAATATATGGACACACACACACACGCACACACACGCACACAGACACACACACACACACACACACACACACACACACACACACACACACACACACACACACACACACACACACACACACACACACACAAAAAC